GGCACAGCAGCCCCAGATCCCAGCACTCGGCGATTTTAAATGATCCCACCCTTTCTTGGATCATTTAAATGTCTCATAGGCCGGGCGGGTGGCTCACGCCTGTCATCCAGCACTCTGGGGAGGCCGGGCGGGCGGATCGCTTGAGGTTTGAGTCGAAACCAGCCTGAGCAAGAGCGAGACCCCCGTCTCACTATAAATACTCCGAAAGAACTAATTGGCCAACTGATATATAGAGGAAAATTAGCCGGGCATGTGGCTTGTGCCTGTAGTCCAGCTACTCGGGAGGCTGAGACAGGAGGATCGCTTGAGCCCCAGGAGTCTGAGTGCTGTGAGCTAGGCTGACGCACGGCCATCACTCAGCCCCAACAGAGTGAGACTCTGTCTCAAGAAAAAAAATAAATAAATAAAAATAAAATCGTCTCATAGAACCAGGCTGCAATGCAACCCGTCATCAGCAGGAGGCGCTCTCTAAACACGCTGTGTACGTGACTGGGCATCCCAGAAGTTCGAGTTTCAGGTCTCAGCACGTGCATGTTGCCTTACTCTGTCACCCTTGCGAGTTCCGGTTCCAGTTAAATGAGTTTGCTTACAACGAACGCATCAGTATCGGCCAACGGCTGTGACAGCCCAGATGTCCGTAATCGGCAGAGGACCCACCGAGCATGAAGTACGCACGGGGCGGGATGCCGAGCGAGGGGAGTCGGCAGCGAGTGCTGCGCGCGCAGCGTCTTGCCTGACCTCACTCGCCTGCCGACGTCGAGAGAAGAAACCGGCGTGAAGGGAGCGTGGCTTGCACGTCGCCATCTCTGTAAGCTGGAACCCGGCCAACCTAGCCTTGGTGCAGGGGTCGGCCAGCCTGCAGGCTGGCGGGACGGGGCGTGTGGGCCAGCGACGTCGGGTGCTGGGTTCGCGAGGCTGGCCGGGCAGGCTGCTGAGAGAGTGCCACGCCCGGGCGTGTTTCTGCCTGGCGTTTGCTGAGCATGCATCTGTGAAACAACTCAGATGTGCCTAACGGCGGCCTGCTCTTCCCCAGATCGCCGAGCGGCACGAGCTCGAGGCCGTCGAGAAGCGAGCGGGCGGTGGCGGCGCTGCCGCCAGGGACGCGGCGCTGCCGCAAGGAGGATCTGGCCGAAGCGCTCTGCGTAAGATCCGAATTCCTGTCCTTGACCCACTGCTGAGAGATTCTAGATTGAAAAGAAGGCAGGGAGCCCAGACAGAGCTTGGGAATGCTGCGTCCTTATAACAGTGCATCGTCATGTGGGGATACGCTGGACCGTTTGATTTCCAGAGGAGAATAGTGGCAGAGCTACACCAGATTAAAGCCCTGGCGGAGAACAGAGAGAGCGTCTTCTAGATAATATTCCTTTCCCTTTTTTTTAAAATTTTTTTTTTTTTTGAGACAGAGTCTCGCTTTGTTGTCCAGGTTAGAGTGAGTGCTGTGCGTCAGCCTACTCACAGCAACCTCAATCTCCTGGGCTCAAGCGACCTCGAGTGAGCTGGGGCTACAGGCAGCGCCACCATGCCCGCTAATTAATATATATAGAATACTCTATAACTAATGCTACGGTTTTTTTTTTTTTAAGTTGGCCAATTAACTCTTTCTATTTTTAGTGGAGATGGGTACTACGCCTCTTGCTCAGCTGTTTCGAACTCCGACCTCGAGCGATCTCCCTGCCCTGCCTCACCACTGCAGGATGAAAGGCGTGAGCCACCGGCCCGCCGCGATTCCTTTCTCTCAAACGCCCGAGTGTCTCCGGCAAACACACGAGGCGCAGAGCATCAGAAAATGTCTCATAGAACCAGGCTGCAATGCAACCCGTCATCAGCAGGAGGCGCTCTCTAAAACACGCTGTGTACGTGACTGGGCATCCCAGATGTTCGAGTTTCAGGGTTCTCAGCACGTGCACTGTTGCCTTACTCCGTCACCTTGCGAGTTCCGGTTCCATTAAATGAGTTTGCTTACAAGCGAACGCATCAGTATCGGCCAACAGCTGTGAACAGCCCAGATGTCCGTCAACGGCAGAGGGACCCACCGAGTATAGGGCGGGATGCCGAGCGAGGGGATCGGCCAGCGCAGTGCTGCCGCGCGCAGCGTCTTGCCTGAACCTCACTCGCTGCCGAAGTCGAGAGAAAGAAACCGGGCGTGAAGGGAGCGTGGCTTGCACGTCGCCATCTCTGTAAAGCTGGAACCCCGGCCAACCTAGCCTTGGTGCAGGGGTCGGCCAGCCTGCAGGCTGGCGGGGCACGGGGCGTGTGGGGCCAGCGACGTCGGGTGCTGGGTTCGCAGGCTGGCCGGGCAGGCTGCTGAGAGAGTGCCACGCCCGGGCGTGTTTCCTGCCTGCGCGTTTTGCTTGGAACGTGCATCTGTGAAAACAACCTCGATGTGCCTAACGGCGGCCTGCTCTTCCCCCAGATCGCCGAGCGGCACGAGCTCGAGGCCGTCGAGAAGGAGCGGGCGGTGGCGGCGCTGCCGCCCAGGGACGCGTGCGC